TCTGAACGTATCTCCGATACACCTTTAACTCACCCAGAACCCGCATTTGGAACATTGACAAAGCTTGAAGAAGTGTTGTTTAGGGGAGAACTTTAGAAAAAGAAAGAGAGAGAGAGAGAGAGAGAGAGAGATAGAGAGAGAGAGAGAGATTGAGATAGAGAGAGGAAGAGAGACAAAGACAGAGAGAGAGAGACAGAGAGAGAGAGACAGACAGAGAGAGAGAGAGAGGGAAAGAGAGAGAGAGAGAGAGACTGAGACGCTACACGGATTCGAACCCGGGACCTTTGAATGGGAGGCGAACACCTTAACCTCTTGGTCACGAGAGTCCCCTTTGCTCATATGTATACACATGCACTTACCTATAAGTGTGAGAAGAAGAAGAAGAAGAAGAAGAAGAAGAAGAAGAAGAAGAAGAAGAAGAAGAGGAAGAAGAAGAAGAAGAAGAAGAAGAAGAAGACAAGAGAGCAAGGGGGTAGTACAGCGCTAGTTAACTTCCGTTATGGCCACCGCCTACGTTTGACACCATAATGAGACGCTCATCTAGGTATTCCCAGTCCGGACACAAAAGAGCTTCTTCCACCACCCAGATGATCCCAACCGACCCCCAAAATCACCAAAATGGCTTCCTAGTGGGCAATTGCCACGACGTCAGCAAACATTTTAGTTTTCGTTTTAGTTTTAGGCACTCGCAAAACAATAAGGTCATATAAGTGCCGAAGATTAGAGGTGTTATAAGAGGGTAACAAACATAAAAAGGAGGAGAGATCAGGAAGATAGATGTTTGATAAGAAAGAAGAGGCAAACCACACCGGAGCACCGGACAACCACCCACTTGCAAACAGTCGTCTAGGATATCACAGTCGAAATTGTCGAAGACGACTGTCCATTGTCGAGGAGTGCAGTGGGCGTCTTAGAAACTGTCAGTACAACGTGGAAAACCCGCTATGGGGAATATGGGAAGTATACAGGTGTCCATTCAGAACAAGTTCGGCTGTATAATACAAGTATGCGATTGTGTACTATCAGTGCAGATATTATTTGTGAGGCTTGCTGACTAAATAGATTATTTTTCAAAAACCACAAATGGCGATATGGGCCGAAAGAGTTCAAATTTGTATATTTTCAACTAATGCCATCTTATCCAAGTTTTACATAGCTACACGTATTTTCATTTCATAGTGATACATTTTACAAAACTCAATAAATAAGTGTTACACACCTCGGTGTTACTAATAAAGAGAGGACCCGTTTAAAGGGCAATAACTCGAATATATCTGCAACGATTTCAACATGACTTCGAATAAGAAATAGAAATTCAACCAGGGGGACATCTATTTAATAGATTTGAAGAAAATCAATCTACGATTTTTTTAGAAAGACCAACTTTGAAAAATCTAAACTAAATTTGGATAAAAACAGAGAACTTTACTTCACAGGTATAGTGAAGTATAAAAGAAACTCGATCATATATTCACTAATTCATCGTGTTTAGGCCTTGCACTACCCACTCATCCATCATAAGACTAAACGAATTCTGCATAAACTGACACATTAAGGTAACAGGATCCTAAATAATCACTATATCATGCTTTTTTTTCTTTCTAAGTGTGTTTGAATCATTTCTAAAGAGAAAGAAACCAAAATTAAAGGCAATAGAAAGCATATTTGTTGTTGTTTTTTTAAAAAGAATATTTTAGAGCTTCAATGTCAACATGAATTTCAAACTAACCTTTTTCGTTTTTCTTCATTTTATCAGTTTCACACTTTCAGCCCGCAAGCCATTTTTCAAACATGATTGTGAGTTAACTACTTAAGATATCAGATTGAAATTGTGCATACTAATTTGGAAGACAATGTTGCATGTCCCAATGCTCTAACCAAAAATATATCATTTTAACCTATCTTTTTCTGAAGGAAATGCATATCTAATTAGCATTTTCATTTTCATTATTCTTAAAGCCATACTTCAAAGGATTATAAAAGAAAGTATGGTCTCAATATCTAGTTTCTTTAATACAAGACATAAACGGGGTATTTAAAAAGCTTTCCTGAAAGCTTCATTAAAAATAATAAGTAGTTTATGAACAAGAGTGTTTGAAGTGAGCCATATATCCTTCTAGTGCCTAGGTATAGAAATCATAAACAGAAAAATGTCATTTTCACTGAACATGTTCAAAAGGAAGTACAATAACCAGATGTGAAAGTTTCTTTTATCTAAAACTTTTATTTAACTTTTACAGGTCGTGCCATATATGGCACAATGGGCATTTGGGTATTATGTGCCAGATATGTCACACTGAGTAGCGTTGAACAAATGTATTATGTTGTTCTTGTGTGGAATTCTTCAAAACAGTTTTGCTCATTGATCAGACAGAGATGAACCGTGCACTTCCTAGTCTTTGAGTCACAATCGGGCGTTTGCATCGTTGCGGTCGGCATGGAGAGGGAAATTATCCACGCGATCCAGCCGTGTGTCGACAGTTGGGGCCTCTCTGAGTGCTAGAGCGTGAGAGAAGCTGAGGACCCCCAGCTGCAGGTCGTCCTGGCTACCTTTCGACGGTAACCAGACGAGCAGCAATCGACTGATGGAAGTCACATAGCTTGACTGGGGGGCTGCTGAAGCATCCTGCAGTGACGACGATATATCAGCCAACTGGTGACACCACCATGTTGATGGTGTGGTAGAACAATAATGTACAATCGGCGAGTCTTGACTTTTGCTTTGTAGAGAGCGGAGAAACAATCAAGTAAATCTACCCCTCCTATGTGTTTGTTGTACGTGCGAAATACAGCACGGCTCTTCACAGCAGTTTTTTAAATAGTTTTTTGTCCTACCTAGTAACCTTCTCAACAGATTCTAGTCCAACATATGACGAAATGACATCAACTTTCTTGCTATCGTACCATCGAACGACAATGAAGTTGGAGTCACCACCCACTAGACTGTCCATGCTTCCTCTACCCTCTTTTGCTAGCTCCTTCTCTGCCTTCAACTTGCGACCTTTCAAGTGGTTTTCACGGACGGTTCCCACATATAGCAGTCCTTTCTCCTTCAACTGTTTCACCAAGTTCACGCTCGAAAAGAGGTTGTCGGCAAAACATTTGTAATTCTTTCCATCCTCCAAGTTTTTCACTATGTCCAGGACAACATAACCTCCCTGCCTAGTTCAGATCTACAAGTATCAACTCCATTTGAACCTTGATAAACATCAAAGTCGTGCAGAGCGCCTTCACTTCTACAACGAGCCCACAACTTGAAACCCCATTTGTGGGGTTTATTCCGAACGTATTGTTTCAGACTACATCGACCTTTGAAAGATACCATAATTTCACCAATACACTGATGCTCAGACAGAATAATCTTTTTGAAATTGGATTTTAGATCATTGATCCAATTTACGGAGTTTCCATGCTCGATCAAGGCTTGTGCAGTCATCACGAGTCTCGTTGTTGACAAAGTGCAATCTTTTAAAAAAATAATTAAGTACCTGTAGTGTGTGTTTCACAGTTCAGAATCTGTACAAATATAATTTATTTGTATAAAGGAAGCTGTAATTACCAACAGATAATTGGGTTTGACAACCTGGGTGTCTAGGCTTACAAGCACCTTAGTGCTGGCTCAACTTTCTCCAAGCCTAGTTTTAATCTGATCAGAGGCAAAGAGCCATTTTTCTTTGTGTGTATTTGTGTATGATTCGTTGTAACAACTAATAGACAAGTGTGTTTTGTAACACGGGTGTGCAATTTGACACGCTCTTTGTACTGTCCGACTTCTATCGAAATTAATTTGTAATTTGATAAAACAGAACATTTCTTTGTCATCTTCAGTTATTGCTTAGTAACCTTTTATGACTATTGTAACATACTCAGATTTGGTTATACTTTTTTCATGTTCGTGTATATTCGGTTAAACCAAAGAATAGACAATTGTGTTTTACAAATCGGGTGTCACGTTTTTAAAACATGTTTGTATTGACTTAACTGTCTCCAAGCCGAGTTGTTATCTGAGGAGCTGGAAACAGCCTAATTTCTTTGCCAACAAAGGACGAATATAAATAGTTTCATCACCATAGTATGAGTTCTTGGGAAAACATTTCGAAACTGATGGGGAATACAAAGCATATTTTTTATCCTGTCTTCGCTTTTGAGCTGGACAGACGTTTGCTCGCCTGTAAACTCTTTTAGTTTTAGCAAGAGTTTTACGCTACTTGCAACACATAAAGTCATGGAAATGCCGGAGATTTAGAGGTGTTCCAAGAGAGTATCAAACGCAAAACGGAAAAGCTCTGAGGGATGAGAGCAATAGTTGTTTGATAGGAAAGAAGGAGCAAACCACACGAGAGGACCCGCCAACCACCCACCCTCTGGATGGGCAGAGAAGTGTAGGATGTCAATCTAGGGTCAAGCAGCCAACAATTTTGCCATTACAGCAGTGGAGCCAAAGATGTCAACAGCAACAAAAACAAATGATTAAAGACGCGATTGAACCAGAAGCTTGTCAGTTTTGGGGCTCAAGAAGTTATTTTGACATCTTGAAGTTTGTCTTGCTTTTGATTTTTTAAAAATTCTATGTATCTTTAATGGAAGACGAGATATTACGGTGTATAGGAGATAGGGGTTTACTGGTAACAAAGGTAAAATTAGCGAGGAAATGGCTGCCAAATTTGGAGACTTTGAATCTTTGAAATGTATATTTTGTGCGTTTGAAAAACATTATTTTAGTAAAATTCACACAGAAATGATTTTTAGATAGACAAAAAGGATGTTTAGTTTAAAAAAAAGAAAAGTTAGTAGAAACTGACCAAGTGGCAGAAAAATGCTGTTTTCTTCGATTTCAATTGTTTTGTCGAGCGCCTGTTTTCATCAACAGTTTCGTCAGTGATGACAAGCAAACACTAACATACTCATTGTTCAGAAAGTTTTAAGGCTATTGTTCATCCACTTAATTCTTTTAATTGTACTGTAACATTTGAAAAACAATATTTCAATATTTTGTCTTCTTAACACAAAAGCGATACTTAAAAAGTGAGCAAGACCCCCCC